TGCAGATCTCTGGGTTGAGCTTAGCACTCACCTGGCCCGCAGCGCGCTTTGTTTGCCAGGAGTTCTCCTGTGCAGAGCCCTGCTACAAGTTTCCCCTTTCCAACACTGGGAAAGGTGACACTGCACGCCGCAGTGTCCCGCGTGTTTATTTACAGTTCATGTGGGAAGTGGGTCTTCCCCCTCTCCTGTGCAGTTTTCTCCACGCCCACTTTTACAAGCTTTCCTGCTCCTGATTACTGGGCAGTGCTGCCCGCTCCTGCAGCCGCCATGTCTTGTTTACAGCTGCATTTGGGAAGTGGGTCTTCCCTTCCTTCTCCTGTCGGAGTTTCCTCCCTCCGCCATTCTCAACAAAGTCTTTCCCGCTCCTGGTTGCTGGGCGCCGTGCCCCGGCTCCACTGGAGCCTCTCAACTTGCCCGCCCAGCTTGTTTTACTTGTAGCAGTTCCAGGCAGGAGTTCCCTCCAGTCTTCGGACTACAGTTGGCCCCACCACTCTTTCCATGTGTGGTCTTGCTAGTCAATTCTTATTTGCTTATTAGTCGTTTTCTCTTTTTTCCCCGGGTGGAGGTCAGTTCTGTCGCAGGGGGGCTATGCTAGCTCTTGCGCCAGGTTGTCTGTGGGAGTACCGCGCGGTACCACGCAAAGCTTACCTGGTCCCTGTCTTCCCAAGCCATCTGGGCGTGGGCGACTGGCGGCCCGGGGGCCCTCCTTGTTTCTCCGTTTAACGTGAAGTGGAGAGTCTCCGTGCCGGCTGGAGGTGTGGAGGGGTCAATGTTTTGCCTCTTCTAGGTGATTTTGCCTGCAAAGTGTGTTTTTCCAGTGTCCTACTCCAAGTTTCCCTATACGGAAAACTTTCTGCCTTCCTCCCTCTAGCTGCCATCTTTGGAGTCCCCCCAAGAAAAAAACTTGGGAATTTTTTATCCCCCTCCTCTGTATGACAAAAGACCTGGGATGCTATTAAGAAAATGGATTTCATTGTCCCATTTGCAATATAAATGCTATAAAGCTTAAGCATCATATTAAATTGGGCAACAGAAGAGGTATCAACATTCAGAGCACTATATAATCAAGCAGTAGCATGGTCAATATTCCCATACAACAAATAAGTACATGACAAATATATAATGGTGTTTGTCTTCAAGATGTTTTTATGTGGGAATATTGATCATATTATTGCTTGTTGACATAAATATGCATAAATACATATGCATAGATATACATACATATACACTCACACATTAAATGATCCAAAATTAGAAACAAATATGGAACTTATCAGTGACTTTCTCAAGTACAAAAATCATTAAATAGGCTGGTGGAGTGACTCGAGTGGTAGAGCGTCTGCTTAGCAAGCATGAAACTTTGAGTTCAAACCCTAATATCATCAAAAAAAAAAAAAGAAAGAAAAAACGAGAGAGAGAGAAAAGAAAAAAATCATTCAACAAACAATAGGCAGATAATCATGTCAATATTTGCTGACATAATATTAACCAATCTACTTTATAATGAATGAAATTATGGACTTTAAATAAGCAAACTATATTCAGAGACAAAGAAGTGACCATGATTTGGGTTTAGCTTAGACATGTTGTAATAGTGAATGATCCAAAAGGGGATAAACCTTTACAGTGGTGAATTAATAGAGCAAGCATTTTAAAAGACATATTTTACTTATCTAATTTTATTGGGGATTTTATGATTCTATTGACATCAGTTCACTTTTTACTGTGTGATAATACAGTACACATTTGATTATCTTAAGCTTTCTGACTTTAGACTGTTTTTATCACATAAATATGAAAAATTAGCTCAGACAAATAGAAACTTTCATACCTCTGCTTTATAGAAATGCCTAGTAGATGTCCAAAAGTTTGTAGGTTAATGGTACAAAATTAGAATATCTGTTTCACTAAAGTATTTTGCAAGTATACAGAGAATAGGACATTCTATCAATGAGAGACATCATTCCACTAATATCTGTTGAACACTTCCTGCACATGAGACACCATTTCCAAAGATAGAAACACTGCAAAGAGAAACAAAAAGAAATCTCTGCCATGATGGAATTGACATTCTGTAATGCCTTTTCAAATGGATGTCCCCTTTCCTCTATTGTCCTGGGTGCCTCAATATGGTCTTTATTTCTTACAGTTGCAAAGCTCACCATTCTTGCTTTTTTGTGAATGTAGTGATCCACATTCAATAAAATGTTTTAGTTCCTTTTATTTATGCAAGACACTGTGATTTACATGTATTTAAGAAATAAATTAAATACATATAATTTTTGAAGCATATTGCAAGAAAATTTCAACATTTAATAATAGTTGTTGAGGGCTTTCTTCACAATACCATTTATTTATGGAAAGAAGGAATTAAGTGCAAGAACCAGATTAATTAGGCAGTCAGTGTAGAATTTTCATATACAGTTGTTGCCTGGGATCTGCAGGGGATTGCTCAAGTCCTTATGTAAAATGGTGTAGTATTTGCCTAGAACCTTCCACAGCCATTTGTATGCTTTAAATCATCTCTAGATCACTTGTGATACCTAATACAAGGCAAGTGCTGGGATGGGGGTGTACCCGAGGGGTAGTGTGCTTACCTAACAAATCAAGGTCCTGGGCTCAATCCCTAGTACCACCAAAAAATACTAAGTGCTATATAAATAGTTGTTTTACTTTACTTCATTTATATTATTTTTATTAATGCATTGTTATTTTTATTCATTTTTACCAATGTTTTCCATCCATGGTGGGTTGATAAATGCAGATATAGAGATTCAACTGTTTATTCTGTTTAGGAAGTGTTTTCTTGAACAATGTTATTTTTAATATTCTAATTAGAGGTTGAGTCCTGCAGTCATAATGTAAGACAGAAGCCCGTAGGGTTAATAATTGGCAAGATGAAGGTAAAGATGAGATATTTGTATAGGCAAATATCTACAAATTGATTCTTTTAATTCAGCTCATATAATAGAGTGTGGGCATATTTTGGTTGCTTCTTAAATCTTCAGTTAATTAATTAATTAATTCCTAGGAATCAAACTGGGCTCTTTTGCATGTGAGGCAAGCACTCTACCTCTAAGCTATACCTCCAATCCTTTGCATTTTAAAAATGAATGCTCCAAAATTGGTCTTAGAGAGCCACTTAAGATGTATTGAAGTATATTTTATTCTAAGTTTATTCAATATTTGACTTTTTGAGATTGCTTTTAATTTCCTTGTATAATATTGTGTCTTCTTTCACACTTTATTTTTTATATCCTAGATGATAAGGAATTTGATTTCAAGTTCCCCAAATAATTAGTGAGATAAAAGTAAGTGTGGGTAAACACATATTTACTCATTTAGTCAATAAATATTTATTGAGTGTATTATCTGTCAGGCACTGTGCTCATCTTTGCACATCCATCAGTGATACCAAATTAACGGCATCTTTCTGTTCATGAAAATCTAAGCAAGTGGGGAGACAGGGAATAATCAGATAATCACAGGAATAAGCAAAGCATGCAGTCCAGAGGTGATGCTGCATGAGGCAAATTTACGGAGGAAGCTAAGGACATCATGAGGAAGGCCCTGCATGGGAGCATTATCTTTCATTTGAGAGCAAAGAAAAGTCAGTTGATGACTGGAAGCCAACCTTGAGATGGGAAGTTTATCCTTCATTATCTGCATGGGACCAATGCATTAACAAAGGTCCATAAGGTAGAAGAGGGAAGCAGAGTGAGAGATTCAGACAAATGGGATTATGAGAGGGACTCAGCCTAGCATCACTGACTTTACAGATAAAAGGAGGCAACCACTATCCAAGGAATGCCTGAACCTTCTAGAAGCTTGAGAAGGCAAGAAAATTCAGGATGGAATTCAGCCCAAGTACACCTTGATTTTAACCCCATGAGACCCATTTCTGACCTCTGACCTCCAGAAGAGAACACATTTATGTGATTCTAAGAAATAGTATTTGCAGTGATTTGTCACTATCTCTGTAGAAAGCAAGTACATCACCTGATTTAAAATACCTATCAAGTCTATTTCATTGACCTTATTCATATGTGTACTTTCAAAGGAAATGAAGGTCAGTAAAGTTCCAGGACTTATTTCTCAAGCCCATGTTCAACAGAAGTTGTGTATGAGCACCATGTTCTTCCTCCTATTCCCTGAATGTCAACAGGGCAACCAACATAAGGGCAAAAATCACGAGTATAGTTTTAGAAATGATGATTTGAAAAGTCTGCCCATGGTATACAATGTTGGGAATGCTGGCTAGTTAAGGGAGTAGATCTAGTGCGACTAGGAATTTGGGGGCTCTCAGCCCCCAAGTGGCTTTCAAAGCCATGGGAATTAGTGGAATTATTCATGGAGGTAACATAAAGAGAGAAGAGAAAGTCCAGCAAGGAAGCAATGAAAGTGGAGGGAAGAGATGAAGCCAAAAGGAATATCCTATGTGTCATTCCTGATGCCTCCTCTAAGGAAAACATAACTGCATTGTGAAACAAGTGAAGGATCCCTATTTGTCTGTATTTATCTCTAAATTTACTATTGTCCACATGATGAATATGTTATTTGCGTCTTTTGTTTATCACTTGTCTAGTTCCATTAACTTGTAAGATTCAGGAGAGAAGATACTTCTGTGTGGTTATTATACTAATATTGAATTAAAGAATATAAATCCACTAATTGATTGACTGCATCTGTATATATAATGCATATGTCTTTAAAAAAAAAACCTCGATGTGTGATGTATAAAAATTCAACCCCCTGCTAATCGATTTCCCTTTTAACTAAGTGTCATGGTGACCACTTTATATCTGTTTACTTTCTCAGATTTAAAGTTCTTCTTTTCTGGTTCCAAATTGCTCAAAGCAAGTTCCCACTAGATCAACCCAATTTCATCAAAGAGTTTTTCCCCTCTGTAAACCTTCATCAAACACTTGGTGTGAACAGTTGGGACAAGATGTTAATCACAAGCAAAGTGGGGCCATTTCACACCCTTGGACAGGCAGGGTGATTAATAAATTTGAACCTGTCAAAATGTCCTTTCCCACACTCAGTGAAGTGTTTGCTGTGGGTTTCTCTATTTTTTTTATTGTCCAAAGGAAAGGGATATACAGAAAATATGCTGCTCCACCTGGGAATGAAAATGTATAAAAGTTCAGTGTTCCTGCCTGTCTTTGAGAATACCAAGTCACATTTCAGCAGGGATCACGGATAGGGAGATCCAAGAATGTACTCCTTGCATCCTTCTAACAAGAGAATGGAAAAGCCATCTATCCTGATTCTTCTGATAATGGAACTTTGTTATGGCAATCCTTTACAGAAAGAGAATTCTTCAATTCTTCATGTTTGAAGAAAACATTTGATCTTGTATGAGTTCAGCAGCTTATCATCTTTATCAAAAAATGTAGAATCGAGGCACTTCTCTCTTATAACAGGAATTATAAGAGCTGCTTGTATGTGTTGCCTTCTCTTGTTTAAAATAAGAATGAAGAACAACTTATCTTTGCTATTGCCTTGCTAATTATCTTTTTATTCTACTCAGTGTATATATTTCAATATAGGTTTTCCTTTGGCAATATATTATCTATTTTCCTCTTATTAACTAAATAATTAGAATTATACTGAATCTGTATGTCTCCTTAGGCTCACCTATGCATATTTTGATCACCTGTACAATTTTATTTTCATTCTTTCTGCTATACTTTGGAACTGAAATGCCCTTCCCCACCAAAGGCCCATGTGTTGAAGGCTTGTTTCCTCTCCTGTGTCACTATTGGGAGATTGTGGAAGCTGTAAGAGGTGGAGCCTAGAGGGAGAAAATTAAGACATTGGGAGTATCTTTGAGGAGAATATTGGGATTGTGGTCCCTTTCTGTCACTATCTTTTTACATTCTGGCCATGAAGTATGTGAGGTTTGTTCTACTACACGCTCCTGCCTTGATGCTATCCCTCCATCATAGGCCTTACCTTAAAGCAATATGTCTGCTTTAAGTTCCAATCATAGACTGAAACCTCCAAAACCATCAGCAGAAACAAACCTTTTCTTATAACTTTATTATCTCAAGTATTTATTACAATAACAAAATCTGACTAACACACATCACATGGAATGGAACTTCCAGGCTGTTTTTTGTTTGTGTGTTTTGATATTATAGATCCCAGTGTCAACCGATACCATGTGCAGTGGTTTCCAGAAGTATGTGCCCACAACAAATCTGGATTGGAGACATCATCTGGCACTACCCATGTAAGAAAATGATTGTGATTAGTTGAATCTAAGTAGCTTCTAGATGCAGTTCATCTGTGTAGTAATTGGAAGGAGGTCACATGGATAACTCATTCTCACACATTTGTTGTTAAGTAATGGCCCAATGAAAGCGGGAATCATACTGATCATCTTATTCATTCATTCTTTCATCTGTTCATATCACAACTTTGAGAGTTTATTCTGTGGACAACACAGAACAATTTATGTGTAATCTATCAGGACAGTTTTTTTTTTGATGGTACTGGAGTTTGAACTCAGGGCTTCATGCTTGCAAAACAGGTGCTCTACTGCTTGAGCTACACCTCCAGTCAATTTTGCTCTGGTTATTTTGGAGATGGAATCTTGCAAACGAAATGCCCAGACTGGCTTTGAACAGTGATCCTTCTGATCTTAGCCTCCCAAGTAGCTAGGATTATAGGCGTGAGCCACTGGCACCCTGCTGAAGACACTTTTAAAATCTGCAAAAACCTGGCCCTAAAGGTACAAGAGTATTTTCATTTGTCACATGTCATTAAAATACTTTTCTTCTGAACACTTTCTAATGCAATAAGTACAGTAATTTTTGGAATCCTATCTGACCACATAAATTTATAATAGTGGGATAAAACACATTACTGGATCATTCAGAAATACACAACTTTCCTTTTTAAAGTGCATTTTACTTGCCTTAATCCAAACTCATCAGTGTTATTCTTTTTAATTTAAGTTCTTCCCAAAATTTGTGGCCTTCAATTTTAAAAAATGAGGCAGACATGCTACAAAATGAGATCTATTTGAAAAGTACAGACAGAAAGAAATAGCAGCAGGATTTATTAACTTTTTGTGAGTGGAGGGGTCAAGCTGTATTTTGTTTTACTTATACATGCCTTGGGACCCTATAGAATTTTGCTGATATTTTTGTGGCTATCCAGTCCCAGACTTATCATCTTCAGGAATTCTGGAAGTGATAGTAACTATTTACCAAGCATATATAATGTATCTAGTAGAAATAAGAAACAAAATCCTACTGTAAAAGCATGCTTCCAAGGGCTTAGAAATAGTCTGTTTTCAATTTTAAGCATCTTTATAGTCAACTAATTTGCTTTCATGCTACAATGGAGCATCCACTACTTTACCTATTGCTACCTTTCTTGCCTCAGGAAAGCATGTTTGAAATACCTGTGAGGCAGAGTCCTTATTGACTCACCCTTGATTCCAGTCCACTTCCATAAGTAGTACAAATTCCTTCTTAAAGAAAAGCAACTCAGACTCCCAAAAAGACACAGTCATCTTGGGTGGTCTGGATTGAGTTGCTGCCTGTTCATTTTTGATGCTAATTGGGCCAAATTGGGTTCACCAGTTTTCCTTTCTTCTTCTAGAATGAGAGGCAACATCTTAGGCATCTTCTTGGTACATTCCATCCCATCCCACCTGCAGGGACTCAAACAATCCAGAAAGGACTTGAGCCTCAGTTTTTATTTAAATTCTTTTGTCATATTCTCCCCTTCAACCCTATTGCTGTCTGGTAGGACCCCCTGTCCTTGCCCCAAAGAGTACCAAGCAAAGATATTCTATATGTATTTTTAACATATAAATGAAGATTTGGTACATTCAAAACAGAATGGGCAAGCCTAACTTAATAGCCAAATATAAATGAAACAGTTGCAATCTTGTTATGACAACAAAAGGCATCCTTATATATTGGTGTGTACTAAGGCTCTGACTTTGCACAGTTTTACCTGTTTCTTATATTTATATTTAGTTATAACATTATGGCAGGAGGCATACAACACTCCAAAAAAGGAAAAACACATTAGTGAAGAATATAATTTTTAATAGAAAAACTTATGTATAAACTGCTAGTTTTTAAATGAGCAAAATAGATTTGTATGTATAGCTTTATTCTGCCAGCCACATACAAAAATGCTTGTTGCAAGCATTAGAAGTCATTCTTATTGCAGAACCATTATAGAAATGTTGAATTCTATAGGATATATCTATCCTAAACCCTGGGAGGATCTCACAGTTGTAATTAATTAAATGAGAAACAGGTGTCCTTTGTACTTTTTATAAATGCCATATTGCACATGCTTCATGTATAGGAAAACATCCTTGTTGGGATATGATTTTTAACTCCTGCTGATTTTTAAATCCTTAATGAGATTATTACTTATTGTTAGCATATTCTCTTTCTCTCACTCCAGGAAAATTACATAATTCTTCAAGACCTGTCATTTTCCTGCAAATATAAGGTGACTGTCCAACCAATACTGCCGAAAGGTCATTCAAAGGCAGAAACCGTTTTCTTTACTACTCCTCCATGCTCCTCATTGAAGGGGAAAAGCCATAAGCATGTTAGTTGTCCTGTCAATGCAGGTATGTTTTGACTTGAAGAACTTCCATGCCTAGGTCTATTGCTAGCAGCACCTTGAAAGATTTTCCAAACTATTTTACAAGACCCAAAAAATCCCCAAAGTTCCCCTGTTTCTAAATTGCTATAATGGTTCAGTTTTGGGGTGGGAATATAGAAATATATATACGTTATTTTTATAATCTTAACAGCTTTGGAATGGTGTCCTTTGCCACCAATATTAGTCCTGTAGAAATGAGGCCAAATATTTAGGTACAGCTTGCATTTTGAAGTACTTTGAAGTAAATTATTTCAAATTATTTTTTCCACCCCTTTTTTGTGTGAGTTCTCTTCACATGCAGTCCCTCCTCCAAGCTCCTTCCATCCACCATCCACACCTATAATAACTTCAGTATATGCCCTTCTCACTGTACTCATTGCCATTTGCCAAAACAATGGCTAAGTCTTGCTAGTGACTAAAAGTGATTCATTTCATCCCCAAAGCAGAGTTCTAAAATAAACCCTCAAGGGTATGAAGCACTTAGCACAAAGTTGAACTGATAGGACTTAACATGTCCTCATATGTCAAAGGGATGATGAATACTCTGAGCCCATGCTGAAAGACTGAGGTCAGATTGCTCCCACCTTCCCATAGAATGGCTTCTAAAATGAAGATAAAGTAGATCCCATAGCTTAACTCTGATTTCCCTTTTTGCATTGCCTCAGGTCATAGTCTTTCCAAAGTGCTCGCCAAACCGGAGAACCTTTCTGCTTCATTCATCATCCAAGATGTTAACATAACCGGCCACTTTTCTTGGAAGATGACCAAGGCCAATCTCTACCAGCCCATGACTGGCTTCCAAGTGACTTGGGCTGAGGTCACTACAGAGAGCAGACAGAACAGTTTGCCCAACAGCATTATTTCCCAGTCACAGATACTGCCTTCTGTATGTACCACTTCATTCCCTTGTGTCCTTGTTATTGGTATCCATCCTTCACTTTCAGTGACTGTCAGAGATGTGCATTTTAGCCATGCTGTATACTCTGCTGTTCAGTCTCATTTCTGAATTCTTCCCCTGAGTGTATCATTTTGTAAGCATTAACACATTGCAAGTCTTATGGTGGATAGTTAAGAAGTAGTACAAACTATCATCCAGTTGCATTTTGACTAGTAGAGCCAGCTCCCATGGACCTTATCCTGTCTACCCTATGTGCAAGAGATTTAGCCATTTTCTTCAGTCTTTGCTAACCCCATGTCCCTCTGGTCTAACTGGACATGCACTGTTTGAAGTGTTGAATTGGGGGAAAAAACTCAAAGAAGCTTGTTATTTGTCTTTCTTTCCCCCCTTCAAAATTGGCCAGAGCCCATAATTAGTTGGACTGTCTTCCAAGCCACTTAATTCCTTGGCTTGAAAAAAAAATCATGTGTGGGCTTTTACCCTTTCTGAAAACCTTCTAAGAATATCCAATTCTTGCTTCAAATCTGAAAAGAAAAAAGAAAGAAAGAAAGCCTTAAATCCTGGAAGGAAAAGTTCCATGCAATGAGAAAGTAATTATTTTATGAATATACTAGGTTTTACTGAGTTTTAAGAAGAATGTGTTGGAATAAAAGTAAACATTTTCAGTTATGGGCATTGGCAGATAGGTTGTGTTTTAAGGAAAATAGTTGGCTCATTCAGTAAAATTTGGATTATCAAGAATTCACATCACAAGATGTGCAGCTTAAACCATGGGAAAATCTCATGTTAGGAATTTTTAAAAAGAAAGAGAAGATGAAATCCTAGGAGTGAGCTTGGAGAACTGGCTCCTTGGGGCATTTTAGATCTTCCAAGCATCCCTGGTTGCCAAAGATTGAGCTAGGTGCTAAGACAAGATATGGCAGAGAACTCTGAAAAATTAGAAGAAACGGTCTATGAATTTCACTGTGGCTTATTATAAACATGCTTGTTTATAATATTCTTATCATGGACTATGGTTCATTATAGAAGTTCATTCATTGACATCTCATTTTGTTACTCCTCAGGATCATTATGTCCTAACAGTGCCCAATCTGAGGCCATCCACCCTTTATCGGCTGGAAGTACAAGTGCTGACCACAGGAGGGGAAGGGCCAGCCACCATCAAAACATTCCGGACCCCCGACCTCCCACCCTCTTCTGCACACAGTGAGTAGCATGTCCAGGTATTAAGCTGTTTGGTCAGGTGTTATGGGCATAGAGAAAAGTCATAGTTAAAAATGAAAATGAATATATTAATTGCCACAGATTTCTGTGAAATAAGAAATTTTCCTTATCTAAAATGAAATTTCTTATTCCACATTTTTATCTACCTACTGGATTTTATTCTAGATACCTTTATCAAACATTGATTGATAAAAACATTGGTTCTAGGGCTGGAGGTGTGGCTCAAATGGTAGAGTACTTGCTTTGCAAGCACGAAGGCCTGAGTTCAAAACCAGAAAAACCATTGGTCTTTTTGGGGGGACCTTTCTCTCCCTCTCTCCCTCATTTTTTCACTTTTTTCTTTCTTTTCTCCCTCCTTTTTTGATCCCTTCATTTCTCCCTCCCTCCTTTGTTCTTCCCTTCCTCTTCCTTCCCTCCCTTCTTTCTCCCTTCCTTGGATTTATTTTCAACACAGTACATGCTTTTTCCTTGTCTTTTAAACCACAATTGAATATGGAAAAATCTATAGTCATATATAAGTCTGAGTTTTTAAACTTACAAGTTTAAAAAATTTTTGTACTAGGATATATTCATTGTACAGGGGGGATTCATAGTGACAATTCTGATTAGGCTTATATTGTACATTATTTACATTGCCACCATTGTCTCTACCCCTCATCCCTCACCCTGCCCCACTTAAAGCAATTGCAAGAGGTCTCTTTGTTCTCTTTCATATAGGTATATGAAGTGCATTAACCATATACCCTCGCCTTAATCTCCTTCATTCACCTTCCCTCCTCTCACGAATACCCCTCCACACTGTACCTATTTTATAGTCCTGTCTTTCATTCTTAATATTTAAGTTGATGTTCAAAAGGATTTCCCAATATATCCCCACTGTGGGTATACTTTGGTCCATTCAACCCTTTCCATTGCTCTCCTTTACCCCTTTACTTTCCACTCTCCATTTTTCAACAGCTTTCAATATACATCCTTGTATCCTCTACCTTCACAGATGTTTTATGATATTACTGATGCTCTATCATTCTCTTTTCCTTTCCCTCTGTTCCTGAGTTCCATAGAGTAGTTCTACTGTCACAAACATGTTCTACATCTGAGTTTATATATGATCATGCTTGTTTTGTGTATGTGCTTATCTTTTGGATCTATCTTCCACGTATGAGAGAAAACATGTAGTCTTCATCTTTCTGAGCCTGGCTTACTTCACTTAACATGATGTCTTCCAGTTTTATCCATTTACCTTCAAAATAGATGTCATTATTTCTTATGGCTGAGTAGAACTCCATTGTGTATATATATCACATTTTCTTGATCCATTTATCAGTTGTAGGGCATCTGGGCTGTTTCCAAAGCTGGGCTATTGTGAATACAGCTGCAATGAACATCAGTGTATAGTTGTCTCTATTGTATCCCAATTTATGTTTCTTTGAGTAGATCCAAGGAGTGGTATCGCTAGATCATATGACAGTATGATCTTTAACTTTTTGAGGAATCTCCATACTGCTTTCCATAGTGGTTTTAACTTACAATTTTTCAAGATGACAGCATAGGAAATGATGTTTTGCTAAGGTGCTTATTTCCTTATTATAAAGATTTTGCTGTCACATATAGCACTAATTTTCCTATATACCCAAGTATATCTACTTGACTTGTTGCCAATTCAAATAGAATTGAAGAGAAAAATGGTCACTTACTACAGAGCCTCTGGTTGACTTTTACATAATGTGTTTCTGTTTCATTTAGTTTCTTTAGAGCTTAAATTTAAAAAGCAATGTCTAAAGATTTTTGTAGAATTAAGTTGGATGTTACATGCTTGTAATTGCAGCTATGTGGGAGACATAGGTATGAAGAATCATGGTCCAAGGCCAGCCAGGGGGGTGGAGGGATAGGGGGTTGGCATGCAAGACACTAGTTAAAGGTCCCAAGTTCAGTGTAGTACAGAGAGATCGAGATAGAATGTTAAGCTTGGTTTTAACTTTGACTATAAATAAAGCCTCAATAGCCTGTTGTCCTTATAATATGCAGACAAAAAAAAACTATCACAAAAATAGAGTTTGACAGCGCTTTACATTTGAAAGAGTTGTGTAGAATGGTTTCCTGAAATTTCTCCATTGAAATTGTTTAATACTTTGTTAATTTAAAAACATTTTTGAGGAAATAAAAGGATTGCGGTTTGCTGAAAAGATGTGAGCTTTAGAAAGAAGTGTATTTTCTCTCTTATTTTGTGATTGGGAAGGATAATAAAAGCCAAAGAGGAAACTTGGGAAAGGAGAGACAGAAAAAAGCAGAGAAAAAGAATGGACATGTGTTTGCACATTGAGATTTAGAATGGGACCTATCATTTCCTATAGGAGGAGGGAACGTTAGCCTGGGGTGAATGCTATCACTACAAGTAAATGTATTTCCAGTATCTATTCAGTATGCATAAAGTTATGTGACTCATATGTTTTGTCACTTCTTAGGATCCCATCTTAAGCATCACCACTCTCATCATTACAAGACTTCTTCAGAAAGATACTAAACTGCTCAAAAGGTGTTTAAGCATTGCATGGATATGCAAGCTTACTGAACTTCAGCAACTAGACATGCATAATTGTAGAAGCAATGGATACTTCTGAGACCTTTTTCTCCCGTGTAACTTTAGGGCAGTAAGGACTTCTGTCAGTCACAGTAGCATTTGGAAATAAGTGACTCATAGTCTCTCAGTAAAGATGGACATCAGTTCCCTAGTAAAATGGAGAAAATGAAGAACAGCTTTATTTGACTCTGAAGTTTGTTTCCATATATGGTTTTGCTAATCTCTATTGAATTGCTGCAGAACTGAGATTTTCCTAAATTTGGATTGGCAAAGTCTCAAAAAGTAGTGGAGCAAATACGCAGTTCATACACATACTAAGCATATGTTTAATCAATAAAATACATTTTGATTAAATTATTGTTTTGATTTGCAAAATCAACTATGACTTTCAGCCTTTGAGCATTATTTCTTCAAGTTTGTCATAAGATCATTTTTATCATGGGTGATTTCTAATGTAGTTTATAATCCAAATTATACCCATAAATTCAAATTCAAAGATGCTCCCATTTGAAGCACTCTAAGCTCTTTTTTATACAAAGGAAAATGAAAGTTCAATCTGTAATTTATAATTTGTAAGACCCCAGAACCCAGAGGGGCTCAATGAATTAAGCTGCTAACCAGATTTTGCCTTGGAGAGATGAAATTTTTTTCTGGGGATACTTTTTAATATTTCATCCTGATAAGAAATTTTTCTTGATTTGTTATCTTTTTTATGTTCCTCTTTGTACAGAAAGCAGCTGTTGGTGTGAAAATTCATAAAACTCTTTCTTCAAATAAAAAATTTCTAACTATTGAGCATTTTCAAACCTTTACAGAAATTTGCCTATTTTTAATCAAATAAAGGTATTTATATGCTAGACTATTCTAAGTAATGTAAAAAACAAAATGACTTTGATTGTTTAAAAAAGATGACTATTTGCCCTTAGTTAGCCTTTACTCTTTCAAATCTATGAAATCTTATTGTTGGAAAATTTTTTGTATCTAGACTACCCCCTGATAGCATGAGCTCAAGTCAAAATATATTATCAGTATATAGCATTGTGGTATGTTTTGGAAAAACCCTAAAATACAGAAATAGTTAGCTCAATATAATTTTTTTCTTGAGAGAATACCCACATGCATGATTCAAAGTCTGCATAGATATGTATGTCTATATACTTATATGTGTATATATGTGTATACACATATATACACACAAATATATATGCATATACATTTACACACAGAGACATTTGCTTGCGTATACATGAATATATCTTGAGTATGAATCATTGAAGTTGTTTCTACAGCTTGCCAATGGTAGACAAAACTGTAGTTCTTTTAATGGTCATAGAATATTTTTGCCATCCATGTAGATTCTATAAGAAAAGACCATTTCTTTGAAATTAAATGCTATAAAAGAAAGGCTTCTTTTCTTTCATCATCTGCCCAGTTACAATGGGAAAAAAAAGCAGTACATCCTAGGTTTTTGATGGTGGGACTTGCTCCTTGGTGTTTGTTTCCTGAATTTGTGCAGTTGCTCAAACATTGCTGACAACAGTGCATAGCTCAGAACCCACTAACTCCATGAGGCTTCTTGTGGTGTCTAAAGTTAGATGAAAAGTAAAGTGAAAACTACTTTTATTATTACGTCCATACATATCTTTAGGAAACAGTCTGTCAACACGGGTACCTCATAACAGATACTGAAGCCTGTTTCCTGTGTTTTAAAGTACTTGCAGAGTAGAGAATGTTGAAATGGTTTTCAGTTTTGTATACGTAGCATAAAACATAAATCTCAGCATGGAGCTTTATGTGGGTTCTGAATGGTCCCCTAACATAGGCTATAAGGGACTTATCACAGTGGTGTGTGAAATCACCTGGTTCTAAGAATATTTGAATGGAGAGAATAGAAAACTGCCTTCATTTAATAATACCCCAAGCTTAAGCAAACACCCCAATTATTCAATTGTCATTACCAGTATCTGAATTTCAAGTTCTTATAGTTTTAAATTTTAAAACTTTTAATTATTTTCTACACATTTTTCTTTTGCATTAATTTGCCATGAACAAATACAAATGTTTAGAGCCAGCTGAGTTTTGTACTATCGTATAGTTAAAATGCAGGATATACATAGATACAAAATATTATTAAATTATTATATAAATTCAATTTTATAAAATTTAATTGTTTCTTTTGTCTGGTAAAAGTTGAACAAATAAATATATTTTCAGTTCAGATGCTGGAGCTGGAATTTACTTCTTCCTTAAAAAATCCAAAACAGATTTAA